CACACTCATAAGGCAAGGAGTATTACTGCAAAAACATCACCCAGCACACCACAAAATATAATGAACTGAAACAAACAAACAAACAAAAGTTGAAATCTCTCTCTCTCTCTCTCTCTCTCTCTCACACACACACACACACACACACACACACACACAAAACAAACAAAAAGAAGCTACCTATCAGTCTGGATTTAGCCAAAGTGCTAGCGCTTTTCTGAGGAGTAAGTTAGTCTTATTGCCTGAGAAGACTTTTGCAGTTCTACACGAGCGCTCGATGAGCAAAACGAAACCTCGAAACTGAATTTTGCCACCCAGAGCAACAAAGCAACGACTGGAGCTTTGGTTTGAAGCGAAGCGCTGGCTTTTCTGAATAAACCACATTTTAAAAAAAGAAGAAGAAAACACTTTAAAGAGGAAAAAAAAAAGCCCCTTTCTGGTTGTGAGGAAAACAGTATAGCGGCCTTATTTTCAAAAAAAAACAATAAACAAACAAAAGAAGTGAAATATAAGGCTTATTTTCACACACCACTAACAAACAAACCTGAGGGCATAGATGCAATCATTGGGGGGAAATTCATGCACGCTTAATATGTTATTACATATGTTTATATTTAAAAAAAACACATCTATATGTGCTTTCTGGACTGTGATAAGTGATGTTTTCTAGCCTGTTGTATAGAAAATGCAAACTATATCTGCTCTTCAACCATTTTTGGTAAACTCAATGTTCTAAGTGTTGCTAGGTATAGAACGTTTTAAGACATCTGGAGCAACCAACATTTCTGTTTACTTTTGCAGCCATGAGAAACTGCCACGATTTTTCTTACCCCTCCTGATTCTTTCTTTCTTTCTTTCTTTCTTTCTTTCTTTTGGTTTTCACCTACAGTGTAGTGAATATACTACGAGGGAAAGTGTATGAATGTATATAAGAGTCAGCTAATTTTCTTCTTAACCTGTACAGTCTTTCTCTCTCTCTCTTTTTCTGTTGCAGTTCAGTTTTCCGTAGTTTGTATGAAAGAAGTGGATTTAGAAAGCAAATATATATAGATATAAACATTTTCTTCTCCAATTGCCTATCCACTCCCAGGATACATCAGCGAAACCAATCAGAAATCATGTGAATTTGCCCCGCCCCAAATTATGCGCCGCACAAGTCCTGGTGATTGAAGTGACCTTTGCACTCCAGTTCACATGACATCGTTGGCCAGTATGTTTGGCTGTTCCCGCAGGTAGTGAAGGTTGAATTCTGCGGAATACTTGGTCCAAATCTCTTTTCCCATTATATGGCATTTGCCCGGCTTTTGGTATATAACCACTGCAGTGTTGGATGGTCGGAGAATTCAGAAGTCTGCCTTTAAATTAGCTCCTCTCACTCAGACTTCCCTCAGTTATGGAAAGCAAAAAATGGTTAAAAACTGCATGCAAAACAAGATTCCAAGTTGCATATTTTTTGTCAAACGAAGGAGTTGTTCTTTTATTTTACCACTTCTGTTTTGTTACCGTAAAACCTTTATCCGCATCTTTCATCTGAGCTTGGTCTTAAAATGAAATTTCCTCTTCTACTAAGCTCAGCCGGTTCATTGGTTTGGTAATAAACATACTTTCAGTTTCTCTGCATTGATATGCGTGGAAACATTTAATGCCTTTTGGTTAAAGATCTATGCCATAGATCTGCATTCCCCCAACCCCCCTTGGTTTCATTTCATTAAAACGACTGCTCTGTTGGGTTCCAAACAATAAGTCATTGTGTAACATCTCACTTAGTGAGAGAGATACAAGAGGAATATATTAGGCCGAAAGACATGAGCTCAGTAGAGAATCAGCTGTATCTTGGAAGGCCTCCTGTGATGAGTACGATTGTTCGCACTTTACAGACAGGAAGAAGGAATTTAAAATTAGCTTTAACCAGCAAGGCACCTTATCTTCTTGTACGCTGCTCACTGCCACTGGGGAGAAACACTGGGAAATGGAGGAGCTTTCAGTCTTCAACACAGCAATACTGTCAGAAAAGGAAAAAAAAAGTCACGGTATTGCCGCTCTTAAAAGTTGCCAAATGATTTGATTCATGCTGTATATGTCAAGAACTTTTCCTTTTTTTTTCTTTTTTTTTTGGTGATGCTTGTGAATTTCTGAAGGCTACACATAGCATTCGAGTTAACATAAGAAAAAAATAGTTGGTCCAATCACCCCCCTCATGTGCCACCATTGTGAATTACCTTTGCTGAGGGCAGGACAAGGAATGAGGACAGCCACGAACCGTTGGGGAAATCTGGTGTTGGTATCCAAAGTTAATCAAGCCAAAAATAAGTGAATAAATGAGTGTTGGATTTCCGTGGCAGTAAGGCCACGTGGAAGGGGATACAGATTCTAAGCTTGGGCTTTTCCACCAGTGCTGAATGGCGAGGTGCTTTTGTGACTTCATGTATTGACTCTGTTAACTCACCTAACTTTGTCAGATTGTTGGTCCCTCACCCCCAAGCAATTAACACAGTTACTTTAAGTAATAAGTGATAGGGGATTGCTATTTCTAGCAAAGGTGATTTGAAGCTGTTTTCTGGGGAGTTACTCCTGTTCTTCCTTGTTGATTTTGTGATTTTTTTAAATAACGAACAAAAGAAGTGTTTGCATTTATCAAATGTTGCAGTAGGTATATTAAAACAATTTTCTCTTTTCAAAATGCATAACAAATACATTAATCCCATCTCTATAATAATCTAATTTGTTTGACTAAGGCTGCAGTCTTATGCACACTTAACAGGGAGTGAAGTCCCATTGATATTGATGGACCTTCTCCTGAGTAAAGATGCCTAGGATTGTGCTGTGATGAGATGGCTTCGGGTTGTTTTTTTTATTACTGTATTGTGTTGCCTTTTTTTAACAATACACTAAAATAATGTGTGAAATTATTCATTCCCAAGATATCAAAAAGAGGTCAGAAGCCCTTAACCTTATAGTGCTTTCTGTGATAGATATTTACAATTTTTTTTATTTGTTGCAAGGCCAATTTATCCATTATTGGAAATGCTAAGCAAGTGGAATTTACCGTTTTGTTAATAAAATGTTTCTTAATACAGTTGCTGGCTCATTATTTCCTCACCCCTTTCTGTGGTTTGTATACTATTGCTGCCACCATTCAGCATGTCTTTGACTCTGATTAGATGCTAGGCCCCACACTGTCTCCCATCGGTTCCGCTCTTCAACTTAACATGGGGACCCAGAGCCACAACTTGATGTCATCTCCGACTGCTCAAAATGACGCTCATGAATCAGTGTCAATTGTGGCTGGATCCCATTGTTCCTGGTAGGGAAGAAGGCAGGGAGGCCAACAGCAGGTGGCGCCAGAGCCAATGATGGGCAGAGCTGACCAGTTCGAGTTTCCCCCATCCTGCTCCCTGCCGACTTCTACAATGGCAACATCCGAGACTTAGGAGGAAAAAGCAGTGCCATCCCTTGAACAGGTTGTAAGTAAGAAAACGGGTATGGAGGGCGGGCTGACTGAGGTCAGTGGGGTGGTGCTTTATTTGCCCTCCACTGCTTTGTAGGCATCCAAGTAGTGCCCATAAATATCTAGATCAGTGCAACAATCAAATCAGCAGTACTTCTAGGGTTTGTGCATGGGATATATTCCCTGTTCAATATTAGGAACTCAATCATGGGTCGGCAAACTAAGGTCTGCGGGCCAAATCAGGCCCAATTGCCTTCTGAATCCTGCCTGCGGACAGTCCAGGAATCGTCGCATGGGTCGCCAGCGTGTGCGTTCTTTCCCTCACCCTCATTCTCCCTCACATGGTGGCGGTGCCAGCACCTCCGCCCTCCCTCCTCCTGGATTCTCCCTGCCCTGCCTAGAGGAGGAAGGGGGCTGGGTTTTGTTGGTGCCAGCCACAGCCGCGTTCGCCATTTTAAGCAGCCCCTCTCCGGAGCCCTTTCACGTGCCGCTCATTGTCCCTCCGCCGCCACCAGCCCCTGCCGCTCGCAAGACGCAGGTAAGCAGCCACCAGGGCTCATGGTCCTCTTGCATCATTTTTTCCCTTCAAAATAGAGTCCAGCCTCCCACAAGGTCTGAGGAACAGTGGACCGGCCGCCTGCTGAAAAAGTTTGCTGACCCCTGAACTAAATGGTCTGTTATTCCAACCAGAGCTGGCCCTACCATTAGGCAGAGTGAAGCAGTCACTTCAGGCCACAGTTTCTGGGGAATGCGGGTAGGTAGGATCCCCTCAGCCACGTGGTGCCATATGGCTTGTGATGTGCTCTCTAACCTCACCTGCTGTCCTCAGGTATTGTGGAGGATAATGTCCCGTTGCCCGTGTTGCAGTAAGATTCACCTGCTTCTCCACATGGCTTCTGTACATGGGATGGGAGGGTGCCATCTTGTCCTTTGCCTCAGGCAGCAAAACATCTTCAGCCAGCCCTGATTCCAATGCTTACCAGGGTAGCCCTAAAAATAATATTCCCCTCAGGGTCACTATTCTGTTTGAGTTGTATGTATTGTGAGGACTCTCAGTGTTCCAACCAATGACGTAGGAGGGTGCTTGAATGTGCTCCCAATTAAAACCCAGCTGTTTCCTTTGCCCTCGCTGGTCATAAACTTGGGCGCATAAAGGCTTACTTTGATGTTTCCATTGCAGCAGCTTTCACTGGTGAGTGGGTGTTTTAACTGAAAAGTGGATTGCCTCTTCAGAAGAGCTGCTTTCACACGTGAGTAGCTTTGTGATGGAAGGAGGCAACAAATGCATAGATGAGTGGATGGAAAGAGCCATGGTAAGCTATCAGTTCTGGTTGATTTGTTCTTTGAGGGCTGTCCTTGTTATTACCCCACAGCAACTACATGAGAGGATGCTTGAAAGAAATTCCTAATGAAAATTCAACTGGGACATCACACGGTCATCATGACACCTTAAGTGTTTCTAATAAAAAAAAATAGTCTTAGGTATTGAAAGCATTCAAATTAAATCCTAGAGATCAGAGTGGTGCACATGAAAGGATGTGGTCTGACATTTGCGGGGGAAGGGCTGTAGTTCAGCAGTAGAGCGCCTGCTCTCCATGTAGATGCTCCCATGTTCAATTCATGGCATCCCCAGACAGGGCTTGGAGAGGTACCCCTTCTGAATAAATGGAGAGCCATGACCAGTCAATGGGAGCGCCACTGGAGCAGATGGACCAATGGCTTGGCTCAATGCAAGGCAGCTGCCTTGCCAAATGCAAGGTGGTTCTTTTAAAATGAGATTCAGAAGCAATACAAAACACAAGGGAGTGAGAGGATTAAAGATTGTATTACAAAACAGCAAGCAATATATACATACCAAGCATGCACTTCAAGCATCTGCCACTTAGAAGCCCTCAAGAAGTGGCGAAGGGACTCCCCCAAGTAGCCTCAGGTTGCATGGGCCCCATGGCTGATCAGTCCGCTCATGAGCTTCTCCAAAACCCTGCCCCAAACCATCTGATTTATAGCTAGCTAGCTAGCGAGATAGCCCATGTGGCTTGCCTGATTGGCTACGTGCAGTCATACATTACTGGCTACATGCAGATTATTCATTATCCGCCCTCTCCCAATGCCTCACGTTCTCCAGACGATGTTCAACATCAAAGAAGGTACCCCAGTACTATCGCTTCCTTCCAACAGATTAGGACATTAAAGGCTGTTCTCAGCCATCGAAGAGCTTAACAAGAGATAGGGAAATGGAAGGAACAGGGGGCAGGAAGGATAACCATGTCAGATCACTTACTCCTCGAAATACAAATATCTTGCAGATAGATTGCCCATACAGCAGCTTGATGATCATGATGGTGATGATGATGATGATGATTTGTACCCCGTCCGTCTGACTGGGTTGCCCCAGCCACAATGGGCGGCTTTCAATATATATAAAAACATAACAAAACATCAAACCATAAAAAGCTTCCCTATACACGGCTGCCTTCAGATGGTTATATAATTACTCATCTCCTTGATATCTGAAGGGAGGACGTTCCACAGGGTGGGTGCCATTATCGAGAAGCCCCGCTGCCTGGATCCCTGTAGCTTCACATCTTGCAGTGAGGGAACCACTAGAAGTCCCTCGGTGCTGGATCTCAGTGTCCAGGCTGAACAATGGGGATGGAGACACTCCTCCAGGTATGGTCCTGTGTTCTTACATACACAGTCATGTTTGGCCTAAGCTGTGGAAGGTTTTATAGGTTATAACCAGCACCTTGAACCATGCCCAGTAGAGAACATGGTATCATTTCAGAAGCTGGAGCACTATTGTATTCCCATTGACCACCTTCCATCAGGAGAGCTGTTGGCTTCAGCATGCCCACCTATTAACATAAATTCAGATCTCTTCATTTTAAATCCATCTTGGCCTGCATAGGCAAAGAAACCAGCTGCTTTCCCCCACTACACATTGAGCTGTGAAGCCTGTATGTATCTTGTTGACCAGGACTTATTCTGTGGTTTGTGTGCGTGTGTAGAGCTTATTTCTTAACAATGTCATCAGAGTAGAATACACTTAGGATCAGCAACCCTTTTATACTTTGCAGAGATATTATCCACAGCGCTGTTCAGCCCACATTTTCTAGGCATGCTATGTGTAGGATGTAGTTTGGCTTCTCGAGTGTAACCGACTTGGTGGAGATCAGGATTGGAGAACCTTTCTACCATTCTCAGCTCAAGGGCCACGTTCTCTTCTGGACAACCTTCAGGAGAGCGGGAACGTGACCATGGAGGAAGGAAGCAAAAATGGGCAGAGCAAGGAATATAAATGAATATAAATTTTTGCCTTGGTGTGGTAAGCTGGTTTCTACACCCACATGTCTCCACCCAGGTAAGTAAGAGGTGCTTTCGGCCTTCCAGGACACATTCCAGCCAGGCAAAAGCAGGAGAGAAGATATGGCTTGGGTAAAGTCCTGAGGTCCACTCAGAGAAACCTGGAGGGCCACACTTGCCTGCCCCCGAGGGCTGAGGCCAGATGTAGATTCTGGGCACAGAGCCTTGGGGGCACTTCAGGGGGCATGTAGAATGGCTTAGTTCATGCCTTGGCTAAAAATGATTTGTACTGGCTTGCGTATGCTAACCACCGTAAAGCCATTTTGAGGAAAGAACTATTCAACTGTGGTTTTTTTCTTCAAACCCCCCGGATTTACACAGATCAAAATCACAGCAGTGGAAACACAGTGAGTGCACATATCCTAAGTGAGTGTGAACATATACTAAGCTTAACTCAGCTCAGACCTATAGAAATTAATGAACAATGATTAGGCCTAATCAGTTCAATGGTGTTTTCTGACTAAAATGCAGCAGAAAACCACCACCGCCTTATTGCGTACACATGTACACATTTTTGCATGCAACTCTGCCCAATATAACTTTTTTTTCCCTTTGCCCTAATATAATGCATTTGTGTAGAGAAGCGGGTGGCGCTGTGGTCTAAACCACAGAGCCTAGGGCTTGCCAATCAAAAGGTCGGCAGTTCGAATCCCCGCGACGGGGTGAGCTCCCGTTGTTCGGTCCCAGCTCCTGAAAACCTAGCAGTTCGAAAGCACATAAAGTGCAAGTAGATAAATAGGTACTGCTCCGGCGGGAAGGTAAACGGTGTTTCCGTGCACTGCTCTGGTTCACCAGAAGTGGCTTAGTCATGCTGGCCACATGACTTGGAAGCTGTACGCCGGCTCCCTCGGCCAGTAAAGTGAGATGAGCACCGCAACCCCAGAGTCAGTCATGACTGGACCTAACGGCCAGGGGTCCCTTTACCTTAACCTTTAATGCATTTGTATGTAACGTAGACAGCACATTTTTTCTGGGGGGACGCAGGGGTACACATACCCCTAAACATTTTGTGAATCTAATTTGGCCTCATTGTGGGGCAGTATTTCAATATGAGTAGGAAAATAAGAGTACCCCTAAACATTTTTTCAGGGGGAAAAACACTGAATGTATATATGTATTCTTGTACACATTACTTGACATTACACTGCAAAATTTGAGGAAGTGCATTTTTTTGAAACAACGGCTATGCTTCAGTTCACATCTTCTTTTGGAACTAATTCTTTGGGAAGTAGCTAGGCTTGCCCTTTAAATGTGAACTGAATTGAATTTCTCCCCCATCCCTACAATGGAGTGCATCATCATGTGTGTATAAACCCTCCCAACACTCTCCTAGGAAATTGGAGAAGGGCACGGAGACATCCCTCTCTTTTCATGCTGCATGGTGTTATTTGTTAAACTGAAATATAACTTAGGAGAAACTATCTCCTTTCTTCAAGAGCCTTAAAAAAGGCATCTGCTTTGATGTTTCACCACTCGTAAGTAAATTAACGAATTGGTTAAAAGCCAGGTAATAATCAATTAGAATCTTTTAATTAACAGCCTAGCTGCTGCTGACGGTACCTAGACACACGATCAAAATCTACCAAATAGCAACGTTTAATCTTACCGTCATCCCATCACCCCTTCAAAATGGAAAACAGTTCTCTCCAGTGGTGGGCGGTAGGAGGAAGAATAAGAAAATTAACTGATTTCTTTACACACACACACACACACACACACACACACACACACACACACACACACACACACACACACACACATCATCCCAGGGTAGACAATAGTTTCTTTTCTCGGAAAAGATATTGAGCAGGTATCCCCCCCCGAAAAATGTGGCTTGGTGTTTGATCTCGTGTCACAAGGAAAGAACTTGAAGCAATTAAGGAACATTGCAGTAATATATCTGGCTCATTAAAATTCAACCTGGAGCAAGTTTAGAATTCTAGAGAGCTAAAAGAGTCCCTGCGGGATTGGCCAAACACTTCAGGTTTGCACCGTTTGATTCTGCTGAAAGATTAATATTGCGATCACCATTTAAATGAAATGATTCCACGGAATAAGAGTTAGAACTAGGAAGGAAAGGAGGAGGAGGAGCAGAATGTACAGCCGCATCGTAAATAAGAATCCCAAGAAAACAAGTTGTTGCGGCTTTTTTTTCAGAGTTGCAATTTCAGATTCCAATTTGGGTTACGGGTGGGCCCAGCGAGTGCAGCTGGGTCAAAGGCCAGCTCTTGGATATATCCCAGGTTAAACAAGTGGGAGGCAGGCAGTGTATTATAAGGACATTTGCTGCGGTCTTTTTAATACCTTCCAATAATTGAAGGAGCAAAAATGCAATCTTCCCACCTGTATATAGCACGGGATTTCATTTACGGTATTTATTGCTTGGTTTATTTATTGCATATATATATTCCACCCTTTTCTTACAGGAGCTCAAGGTCCACAACAGCCCTGTGAGGTAGGTTAGGCTGAGAGGCAGTGACTGGCCCACGGTCACCCTTTGAGCTTAATGGGCAAGTGGTGATTTGAACCCTGGTCCCCCAAGTCCTAATCCGGCAATCTAAACACTGCATTTCACATGCATTCAACATCCCTCCTGAATGTGCCCGTTCCTTAATGGGCTGGTGTAGCTTTCATCATCACAGAAAACTTGGTTAGGACCAAATTACACATCATCTGACTTGAGGGTGGTTCAAAAAAGCAATTGCTGTGGGCCCCATAATCTGAATTGGAATGTGTGCTAAGAGGGGGGGTTAACTGCCCTCCCCCCACTCACCAAAATCACACACACAGAACTTCTCTCCAGAGGCAAATCACATCCTCCCTAAAAGAGGGCATGTGTTGCGGTGAGACCTGGAGACTGACCTCCTGTGTTGTGGGTGGGTAAGATTGGTCAGCCACAACATGCAGTTGATAGGTCCCTCGATGTTGGGTTCGATCTGGCCAATGGGGCGCAGTCCAAACGGATCGAGGGACCTATATATACCCATGCATGTGACCCAGAACTTCCTCTTTCGGCATGCGCATTCAGAACACCTGCCCACCTCTCCCTACTTTTAGGGCTTTTGCACTTGACCTTGCTATGCCGTTGTATGTCGTCTGTCGTTGGGACAAGGGCATGGCAGAAATTTCCCCACTTGGCTGATTGGCTGTTGCCATTTGGGTTTTGCCTGCCGCATAGCAAATTGTCACAACTCGTAAGGTTGAGGATAGGCTCTGGTTCAGGTGATAGGGATGGGAGAATGCTCTCACCATCCCTATGTGAAGGGTAT